GCCACACCTAAATCCTAGGAACCTAAAAGAATCCTTGGCCATATATAAGTGTGCAATAAATATTATCAAATAATTACTGTTAAATGAATGAATGAATTTTCTTTATTCAAAACTTGCCATTCACACTGTCTCACTGAAGCTTTAAATACCAAGAGTGATTATTTTCATTTTTTGAGCTTGTTCTTTCCCTGAAACAAAGAAATAGCACTAGTTCCTTGAAGTGTCAGAAATAAAGACTGAGCCCACCCGAACTTCCAAATAAACTAAATATAGAATAATGTATCATGACCGCAGTGATAACGGGGACCACCAGGGGGCCCCTTTTTTTCCCCACCTATTACTGAGCTATCGACTCCTTAATACAAGTCAACTTGATATATGGAGCAACTCATTTGCAGTTTTACTTAAATCTGTGCCGTTCTGAAGGCATAAAAAGTGCCTCTGTGACCTTCAAGAGACAGAAATAATAATAGTAAATCATGACAATAGTAACTGAGTCTAAATAATGATGCTGGAAGAGACAAAATAGCCTCTGTAACTTTCTCTACTCCCAGATACTGTTTTTTTGTACAAAATGAACACAAATAAAAGCTTTCATTCTAAATTCACAACAATCACTTGCCACTATTTTCTCACCTCCATTGGAAGTCAGAGCTCATAAACAGTTCTTAATGTACGTGAACTGTTTTTTATATATTTGAAGTTGTGTTATCTGCAGCTTCCTCACAGGTCACTGCAAGGAAAATGCCACTTTCTCATTTCCCCAACACTTAGGAAGGCTCTGGAGCCCAACCATCTGAGTTCGTATCTTAGCTCTGCCATTTGCTGGCTATGTGGCCTTGGACAAATTGTCCCAACTCCATCAGCCTCAGGGTCCTCCTGTGTTAAAAGGGGGAGTATGTGTTTATAATACCTATAATTGTGAGGATTCGATGAGATATTATATATATATAACACTTGGCACACATTATTACTGAAATCTGCCTCATTTGCTACATAGTATTCTGTAGTTTGTTCCACATCAGCATTTGATGGACCTTTTTAAAAAATCACATCTTCCAGGCTTGCCCAACCCACAGCTCGCAGGGCACAAGTGGCCCAGGACAGCTTTGAATGTAGTCCAACACAAATTCTTAAACTTTCTTAAAACATTTGAGTTTTTTGTTTGTTTGTTTTAGTTCATCAGCTGTCGTTAGTATTAGTGTATTTTATGTGTGGCCTAAGATAGTTCTTCTTCCAGTGTGGCTTAGGGAAGCAAAATGGTTGAACACCTTCTGTCTTAGGCACGTTCCTTAAAAGAAGTAAGGCAACCAAGACTTAATAGATGAATGCATATTGCGTTCTTTACTAGTCAAAGGAAATTTGTGTGACTAATGCCAGAACACCACTAGCAGATTGTGTTTGATTGGCGTATCAAAATTGTTCATTAGCAATTGTGAGAATTACTAAAATGGTACAACAAAGTAAATTAAGAACATCTGGATTTTTCAGGGGAAGGCAAGAGATAGCAGTGGTAGTTGGGTTGTTAATTCCTAAATTAAATGAATTAACACTGGTGCTTAGTATCCTAAGTACAGAAATAGCCTGAGGCCCTTCTTGCCTCTCTTTCTCCATTTGTAAGATAAGGATTACCGTCTTCTATGTACGTACTTAATAAGAAAGATTAATTAGTCCTTTAAGAGGTAGACTTAAATAATCACCATTACTATTAATTTACCCAGTGGCACAAGCAGCTGAGGAGCTCTGGTAACTGACAGAAGCACACAGTTCTGTTCTGCCTGGGTGCTCTCACTCACCCAGGCCTCTTAATTGCATTTTAAGTAGCCACAGTTAGGGACCATGGAAGGCACAGAGGTGAATCCTGTCCTCAAGGATCTTACAACTTCCAGGATTAGAGAGGTTAACTGAAGAGGTTGGGTAAAATATATTAATACATTCCATATAGCATATCAATTCTGTGAGAGGCATTGAAAGAATTCATTTTTAAAAGTTTGTGCTAATGTTCCAGTGGGGTGCACAAGATAATTATTTGGGATGCCAAAAAAAAATATATTAAGACTTCTATTTGTTATCTTTTTTAAAAGAGGGAAGAAATTAGTCCATGTTTATATAATGGTTGACAGTAGCACACAGATACATAAGTAGATAGTCTGGGAACAGTGGCTCACACCTATAATCTCAGCACTTTGGGAGGCTCAGGTGGGAGGAACACTTGAGGCTAGGAGTTCGAGACCAGTCTGGGCAATATAGCAAGATCTTGGCCTCTAAAAAAATTTTTTTTCTTTCATAATTATCTGGGCGTCATAGTGCTTTCCTATAGTCCCAACTACTTGGGAGGCTGAGGCAGGAGGATTGCTTGAGCCCAGGAGTTTGAGGTTGCAGGGAGCTATGGTCACACCACTGCACTCCAGCCTGGGCAACAACAGAGCAAGACTCTATCTGATAATGGTATATGATCAAGAAATTTTGGAGATTCCGATTACAATTGTGTAGATTTAACTTATCAGTTAAATTCTGCTTCGTGAAGTCACCCTGGCCCCCTTGCCTTACTGAGTATTCCATATTCCAAATTGTTCTTTAAGTGTCTCTAAACAGTTTATCTTCTACTCCTTCCATATTGGTGAAGATACCTATTCTTCTCAAACTTTTTTCTACTATCTCAAATATTTCATGATCATGAAGATTATTCAAACAAATAATCAAAAGGCTTTGCTTCCAAAATGTGAGCTTTCATTACCACACTTCTTTCTTAGATCATTTCTACCCCTTCTGTCCATCCCAGTGTATTTCTTTAAACTGGATTGTAAAGTGGGTACTCCTGCACCCTGGGCTGTCCTCGTCAGTACTTCATTGTTCTCTGAGATTCCTTCTTTGCGGAAGGGCCATGATTGTGGGATAATTACCCAGCAACCAGTCAAAGTAATTTGAATTTAAATATTTCTTCCTTTCTCTAGGAATTGATTTAATCTCCCCTCTCTGAATGTTTTAGGGAATATGTTAAGACACGGTAAAAGGAGGGAGGAAGAGATGAGTTTCCATCTGACTAAGAGGTGGTAGGGTGCCTTTCCTTTTACATTGCAGATCTAAGGCCTTTGCACCTTGTATCTAGTCTTTCAATAGGCTTTGAAGTTTATTCATCTTTAACAAGGAGAGACATTTTGAATGTTTTTATTTATTACCATGGTGTATTGAAAGAAAAAGGAAACATCATTTTACACTTTCATATTAATTTTTTAAATGAAAATCAGTCATTCAAATCATTCCTCACCAAATCTTTCTGAATTCTAAGACATTAAAATTCATGTCCATTGGAATATTGGATTCATATTTTAATCATGGGCATATTTGTTTCCAATTATATTTTTGACAAAATAATTATATGTTTAAGTTTATTTCTATAGACTTTATAATGCTTCCAGGTCCTTGGCATAACCCATTGTAGGCACATTTTACAGGACTTGGTGGAATGTTAAAGTGGTGGAAGTTTATGGCTGTTACTTAGCTTTTGCAACAAATTCCTTATTGTTCCCCTATATCTGATGCCACATCATTGACCAAAAAAAAAGCATCCCTTAGTTTACACACTTGTATTTTGGCCTATGAAGTCTTCATGGTGACCCATTTGATCATGTGATTTGTAAGTAGATAATTACCAGAGTGAACCATGGACTTGTTAGTATCCTGTTACTGAGTGGCACTGAGGCAACTGGACTACAGTATTGGCCTAATTTTTATGTGTGTGAAGTGGGACTGGGGGCCTGTATGTGGTGAAAGGCTATATACAAAGTTCCATCAAAACTACACTTTATAGTCAGCAAAATCATTTCTGGCTTTCAAGGATCAAAGGAAGAAAGAAGATTTAAGGACGCTGGACTGATTTATAGCGTCAAAATACTATCTAAATGGGCTATGCATTTTATTATCTGGGGTGGAAGCATAAATGGACAATTTCAAAACACCTATCAAATAAGTAGCAAAATTCCTGTATAGAAATGGGATTTCTGGCAGGGCACGGTGGTTCACTCCTGTAATCCCAGCACTTTGGGAGGCCAAGGCAGGTGAATAACCTGAGATCGGGAGTCCAAGACCAGCCTGGCCAACATAGTGAAATGCTGTCTCTACTAAGAATACAAAAATTAGCTGCACGTGGTGGTGGGCGCCTATAATCCCAGCTACTTAGGAGGCTGAGGCAGGAGAATTGTTTGAACCCGGGAGGCGGAGTTGCAGTGAGCTGAGATCATGCCATTGCACTCCAACCTGGGCAACAAGAGCAAAACCCCATCTCAAAGAAAAAAAAAAAAAGGAATTTCCACCAGGAAGGATAATAGAGATTAAAGACATCTTTCAGTTGCTCAATTTAAGTGCAATCACCATATGACTAATTTGAGTCATTGCGAAGGGGGCCAGTTTAATTGAATAAAGGTTTGAATTACAGAATATTTTCTTGTAAGTAGAGAATGGCCTGACAAAAGTCTTGCTTTCATGAATGGAGACGGGAGTCTGCGTTGGCACACCAAAACCCTGACCTGAGATCTTCAGGATGCAGTTTATTAATTTTTTTTTTTTTTTTTGGATTTCAACATTTTAATTTCTCTGGAATATAAGTCACTTTTTGCAAGCTAAAAAATAGAATCAAACTAAGGCGATCTAGTCCTGTAGGCATCCAGGCTGATCCTTGGAATCATGAGCAGAATGATGGCATAATACAAGGTGCTAGCAATAGGTTTATAAACTCTAAATGATAACCACTTATCTACGTGTTTCATTAGGAAACAGTCAAAAGTCCAGCCATTAAAGGAATAATCTACAGAACATTTGATTTACTAGGGACAAAATGATCCAAATTGTATGCTGTCCAATCTACTCGTGAACTGGATCAGAATGGGCCAAGGGCTGTTAAACAGAGAAAGTATTTACATTTTGAAAAGTTACTCCACAGGATAAAAAAATTCCTGGTTGCTGTCAATAAGAAAGCAAGTAAAAAAACATTACAGATGAACTCACTGATCTTTGATTTTACTAAAGCCTTCCACTGGAACATGAAGGTAGGGATAAGTGTAGAGGATAATATACTCAGATATTTTTTAAATAAATTACTTAGTAATAAGAAATTAGCCATACTACATTCTTCCATTTGCTACAAGAACAAATTGGCAATGAAGACTATTTAAAAGAAATGCTCAGCTCTACAGAGGGTGATGGCAGGCAACACTTTTCCATTACAGAATAACCTCTATTCTTCCATGATACATATTCCTGTGGAAAAACTTGTCAGGAGCTCTTGCCAGGGCCAAGGGATGAAAAACAGAGCATGTCCTAATTAGCTACTGCAGGTTCAGTTAACATCTTTGGGAAGGACCCGTAAAATCTAGCCATTATTTTCTTAAACATCTGCAAGCTGCAGAATTCCTTAATCCTTAGCTATAGTTTCTGCTAGGTATCTTAAAGCTGGGACAGTTCCACTGTGACTCTTCTCCTCAGCTATTAGGTGGGTGCTAGTCATCAAAGTCTGGAATATCATCATAGGAGTAACCACGGTAGCCTTTGGATGCATAGTAAGTGATGTGCAGGTGGTAAAATCTGGGTAGGAACACCAGAATGCCAAGGATCAGGACTGGAACGGCTGGTCTGCCCCCTCTTTGCTGATGTGGCCTGACAGCTGGAGGGAGCCTACAATAATGAGAAAGGCGCCAATCAAAAACAGCACAGTGGCAAGTGCGATGGTCTTATAAGGGATCTTAGGAGGAGTTTTCTTAAACTGAAGGTCAATGTAGCCATCCTCTGTGCTGGAGAGCCTTGAATATTTCACTTTACTCCTGGGGATTCCAGTAGCCAGGTTGGTTTGGGACAGCATCATAACACGTTGACACAGCAGAGCACCGCACCAGGCCGCCCACACACCCAGAGCTCACCCACGGTTGGCAGTGCCCGAGGTCGCATGGCACAGCCCGCTTAAGTGCCCTGTTTATTCTTTTAAACAATCCTTGAAGAACTGCTGTGGGTGTGCTATGGATTGGCTTAACATATTTTTTTCTACAGCTGTAGGAAATTTATTTCAATGTATTCATTAAATTTGTTTATAGGAATTTGTTAAGCCAATCCATAGCATGCTGACCACTAGGAATTGGGCTTTCATATTCATATAGCCCAAATGAGTGGTATTTTGGTGTGTTTAAAATTAAGGGGGTTAAAAAGCAAAATGCATCATAAGAATGCCAAGATTAATCCTTAAAGTCACGTTACTCTTCTTTTGAAGAAGTTGTCTTCTGTAACATCCCATGGGTTAGAATAAACTTGCCATGTATTTAATGGCCCTGAAAATAAATTCACAACACTAGGCCAACCCAAAACCCACTGGCTATACATATTAAAATCATTTCTTTGTCACCTTCACTAGTTACTTCCCGTGTAATTAAACCCCTTTAAAACTGAATTTGTAACATAATCAGCTGCATATTGCCAGGACTGTGAGGCTGCTTCAAGATGCAATTAGAGCAAGGCTAAGTCAGGTGAACCTCGAATTATCAGTAGATGTGGGTGAGCCCCTAGAAATGGGCAATTACCATCATATGTCACGCTTCTTATCTCTTTTGCAACAGGGCTACATAAAAGGAAAGTAGAGGGGTGTTTTAATGGCCTCTGCTGCCATTTGTGTGTATACCTAAATTTACATGTTATACCCTGATGTATATTCATGTCTGCAGATTACACTTGAAAGAAAACGAATGATGTCAACTGCAGACATTAAACAGTGGGACATTTTGTAGAGAATTTCAGGCCTGTCTCTGCACTCAGTTTTTTCTCTATAGAATCTATGTACTAGGCATTTTCCTTCCACCTTTTATGTTTTATGATCTTCCTTGCTGTGAGAGAAAAACGAAGTCAATAGAGTAGATATTTTTTTCTTCTTTTCAGACCAAAAGACAGGTTTGGATTTTTTTTTCCTTCCTTAAATAATGTATTGAGATATACTTTTTAAAATTCAAACTCTCAGCTGGTGACATTTCTGCCCTTATAAAGCCCACCTTTTTCTCTCCCCACTTTCATCCTATTCCTTCATGTTCTGTGTTATCACCGTGGTATCAATTCCAGCTCATAATTATTGGTCTCCCATTTAGCCACAAGGTGTAAATTTGCTAACTGACCAGGCATGCTCTGACGGTTAATCTCAATGTATGTCTAAAGGCTGAGCTTGCTGCCCTGGAAGATTTCCCTGGGGGATTGCTCTGCAGACTGTGAGGCCATTTGTTGAGCTGTCGGATGTGGAAGGAAGGAAAAGGAGAGGACCTGCCAGAGAGAAGCAGGATCATACAGTGCCTTTCAGAGGAAAGTGGGGAATCAAAGGCCAGTTTCCTGTCCACTCCAGTTCCACAAGCAGGCTCTTGGGAACTAGGACATCAGGACATTCCCCTATTAGCGTTTTTAGAGGAGTCACCGAGAGAGGGCCCCCAACCTGAGGGTTAAGGCAAATTTAGTGGTGCCCACAGGCTGTGCTCAGAAATTACCACCAACGCAGAACCCTTCTGTTTATATCTGAGACTTGCAAGTTCTTCATAAAAATGCTTAGAACCAGAAGGGGAATAAAAACACATTGGTATTGACTCCGGAATCCAAAAAGGTGTCTACAAAAATCAAAATTATTGAACATCTAATTGAATGTCCACAAAATATTTAACATCAACCTCACTAAGTATTAAATTTCACCTTATTAAAAATCCATTACATATGAAAACAAATTGTAGATTTGATTTTTTCACTTTGCAAGATTTTGAGCATGCTAATCCTAACTTAAATGAATGGCACATAGCAAATAATTTGAAATTCAAAATTATAAGAATCCCTTCTTTTTTTTTTACACAAAACTGTATATTTTAGGTGAATTGTATATTTTAGATGGGATGTGGGGACATCTTAATATCTTTACAAGACACGTGTGGAAGACCCTAAAACAGAAAGCCTAGAGCACATGAAAGTTTTAAAACAGCTCTGCATCTGGCTACTCTCGTCCGAGTATGTGATTATTCCTGAAGACAGACATCTGCTCAGACCCCATTGGGGAGGACCAGAATGCCAGATGGGGGAAGGGTTCCAGTTTGTTCTTGCTGTCTGCACCTGTAGTCGAGGTGAAGTGACGAAGGTGGTGTCTAAGCATGAGGAACTATTCACCAGGCACCTGTATCTCGTTGGAAAGATCCCAGGGTGGTGCCCGGTTCTGGTGAAGAAGGAGAGTTCCTATTGAGTTGAGGAAGTAAAAGCTGTCCAGGTGGGTCATGTGGGTAGAATTACACTGCCCCCTTGTCTGAGTTGCGTTCGCTCCCAGCAGATTACCAGGCCTTTATGTGCCCTTGTGTTCTAATCCACATTTCTCAACTGGACAGAGACTTCTATTTAGAATAGAAAACTTGAGGTGAAGGAGCAGAAGAAAAGATGGGTTATCTGATTTCCATGTGGGATGATCCTAGTCTTTAATTCAGTGGCCTAACTTCTGTGAACTTTATTTTATTCACAATACCTGGAGCAATGAATGCTGACTCCCCCCAAAACATATAAAAGATGACATTTCTTTGCAATTCCATCCACCAGTAACAACCACTAATAACAGTTTGGTATCATTCTTGCAGAATTTTTTTATTTACATGCACTAAAGTATTATTAATTTATTTTCCTTTATGAAATGAAACAATAAATATTTATAAATGTTTAATTTTTTCAGTTATCAGTAGATATTTTCCATGTCAGTACATGTGAATTACCTCATTCATTTTAATGATCACATAGTATTCCACTGCATGGCTGGGCCACAGTTGACTTAACTGCTTTGTATAGCTGGACATTCGGGTCGGCCATTAAACTTTGACCTTTCAGGAGAATGAATCATGTACCTAAATAAACCATTATATTTTGGCTAGAAATATACATCCTCAGTCCACTGTTTTGGCTTAACTCATCCCAGGAGCAGAAAGAATGAACTCTTCCCCTATACTGATGCTTGTTATTAAATGTAAATGCCATATGTGACTCTTCATTTATTTATTTCTTTGTCTTTTGTCTTTGCCTTTTTCTCTTATGCAGCCATCTGCAGCCAGAGACAAGGATGAACCGACTCTACCGGTAGGAAGCAGTAGCTTTGTCTGTACCTGCTTGTGTGCCTGTGGAGAGTGTGGGGCGGGGTTGGGAGTAAGAGGGGTTTGTGTGCTCAACACATTACTCTCTCCCTTGGAATACTTAAATAGTCTAACCCCTGGTGTGTACTTCTACTCTGTGCCACAATTAGTGATGACTGAATTCTGGCATTCATGAACACATGTCTTCTGGGACTAGGTTTCAAAATTTGAATTTTCTCTTCCATTTGGTATGAACTTTTGTAGGAGTTGGAAGAGTGAGATATTTCCAAATTGCATTCCAAGGGATGCTGAACTAATATTTGGGAGTAGTGTGGGATCTAATGCTCAATATTTGTTTTCTTTGTGTATCTGCATGCACATACTCTGATTGGAAATTTATTTTGGTCTCATCAAAAGAAATGCTGCATGAGACCTATATATTTAATATATACATAATACACAAAAGAATGCTTTCAGTACTTCTCTAGATGTAATCTTTTTCAAATGAAGATCTCCACACCAGAGTTCTTCCAGTTTCCCAGAATAAGGACCATAGTAGTTATGACAAATTATTATTGATAAACCATTTCTGAGTTCCTGTTTAATTAACACATCACATTTCAGATTTTGCAGCATAGTAAAGAAACAACCTTCAGAATTCTTGTGTTCAGCCATCAAACAGTGATTACATTTCCATTTTATTCAGATCTCCTAAGCTTGCTCCTAAAATATTTTGAAATTTAATCATCTGAATCCTCTATAACTAATAACAAAATGCATTTAAAAATGTGTAAGACTTTCAAGGCTAAAACAGTAATAAAGATACATATGACCCTGTCCTTCCTCCTGTAATGCTCAGGGCAAAGATGTAACATTGATTAACAGCCCATAGAATGCACCTGATCCAGTACCAGAACACAGGCACAGACTCAATCTCTTCTGTTAAGGAGCCATAATCTGGTTCACCATTGAGACACCAGTAATCTCCACTGAGTTCTTTTCCAACCCTATTGAATTGGCAATATGATTTCCAATAGAATGTCATAATAAATCACACTAAAAGAGCCAGATTTCTTCGGGTATCTCATAGTGAGATTTTACTCGTACTTTCTACGGGTTTCATGTTTGTCTCCAACTGTGTGGACCATGATTGTTAACAAGTGTTTTACAAAATAAGATCCTACGGATAATAGTTTGGAAACACTGCCCAAGTTAATCAAGTTAAACAGATTTCTGTAGTGTTAGACTTAGTGGTCTAATGTGTAGTTTGAAACCCTAAGGTGAGTTGGCTAGGATATAGCACTTTTCAATATATATCAAATATGTATTTGATCATGGAGTCTCTCATAGGACACTTTTGGGGAAGCCCCTTGTGGGTCTAGAGTATGATGGAATATTTTGGAAAACCCTGTTATGCAGAAGTTCGAAAGACATAGTGGAGAATAGTATTTTATTTTTACCTGCCCCAGAAAATTTACATGTCAAACTTTTACACTGAAAGTTCAATAAGAAATTAACTGCCTTACATTACAATACCTTTCAACTCCTTAAATCTGTCTGTCTATAAAGCTTGGCTGCCTCGGAGAGTCTTCCCTTGTGATGATCAGCACAAAATCAATCATGGGGAGACAGCAGTTCCTATTTAGGTTAAAAACCCATCAAAATACAGAGGGTTTGGGAGTTTTTAGGTTGTTTGCTTTTGAAGATAGAAGAAAAAGCGTATGTCGGTAACCTTATCTCTAGATACTCATTCTTCCTTCTTACCTACCAGTTCCATTTATTTGGCCAAAGGATCACAACTAGTAGTTTGTCCAAAAGGATCCCCCCTCAAAGTCA